TATAATTAAACATAAATTTGCTATTTTCACTAAAATCGATGCGATTTTTTTAAAAAAAATAATTGCATGAAAAAACCTTCAAAAAACATACTTGCCAAAATATTTTTTATTGCATTTATAGACAGAAAAAGTTCAAACAGTAGGCGGTGTCAGGGAAAACTGATAAAATTGACCCCTCCTCTATCTCCCCCAAAATTTCAAAAAAGTCAAAAATTTTTTTGAGATATTTTACTATCAGGTAGGACAACAATTTCCCCAAGTTTCACTTTTTTTCGAGAAATCAATTTTTTAACTCAGGACATTACACGTAAAATGCCTCATATGCATATCATTAAAAATTTCATTTTACATTTTCAACAATTTTAAAATCTTTATTACTTAAAATAAAATACTCTTTTATTTTCGACATGGTAACCTTCTTCAAATTTCAAGCTCCTGGTAAAAACACTTTTCAAAACAAATCTTCTATTTCAATTTCCTGCTTTAAAAAATTTATATGGGTGATTCTGTCAAAAATGACTAATCACGCTTTCACGGTAATCTGTTCAAAAATAATAAAATTGATTGAAATTATTAAAAATTCTGTTAGCCATACGGTAAGATTTAAAAATTTTCAATCGAATCACTAAAGAAAAATTCAAAAAAATTAGACAAGTGCGAGTTACACTCACTTACCTAGGGTTCCGTTCACGATTATTTATATATTTATATATTATACATATATATGTACAAAGTTTAAGATGGTTGGCTAAAAAGTTGTTAAAGTTAAGATAAAAAGGAATTTTGAGTTTTTGTAGCGAACCAATATTTAAGTCAATTTCAAAAGGGTTAGCTATATTTTTCGTGAAATCTACACGTGAAATTAAATGTGTCACAAGTTTAAGTTTCTTAGCTCCAAAACTGTAAAAGTTAAGAGGGGACACGTTTTTCCGAAATTTCGAGTTTTTGGCGTTTTGGAATATAACTATATTCAATTCAATTCCAATCGGATTCGCTATAATTTTCGTTTAATCTACTCGCGAAAATACGTATGTATACTAGGTTTAAGCTTAAACGGTTGAAATGGTTGAAATGGTTTAAGAAGGGGGGACATGATTTTGTGGACGGACATGAGTGGAACTATAAAGGTTCCGTTTCATTTCATTGCGTGAACGGAACCCTAAAAAGGCAAAATAACTGAAATATTAAATAAAATCGGACGTTACGTAGGGGAATTTTAATACTACTTTTCATTCAATAATTCAGTTATTTGAACTATTTTTGAAATTTTCATTAGTTATCCGATTGAAAATTTGTTAAATCTTATCGTATGGCTGGCAGAATTTTTATTGATTGAAATTAATTTAATTTTTACAAAAGCACCGTCTAAAATCGAGCACATGTGTTTCACCTTTAAAATATTTCATTAACTATAAATCAGCCAACGAATGCAATAAGGATAATCCTTTATATAGGTGACTTAGCGTGTTGTCTATAACCTTTTTTCACATTACATCAATTTCGATAATGATTATCATTTTACTTATTTTCCTCTACCCTCTTAATTTTTGGTTCATTAAGGCGTACTTCCGTTTGCGAAGACGAAATATAGGCACCTCTTTACAATTTTTTTTCATAGCCATTTTAATATAAATTTAAAAACTTTTTTTATTCCTAAAAATACATGATTAAAGCTACAAAAAGCAAAAATTGTTTTGTTTTTTCATTGATAATTACGATTTGTAGAGGGCGCCAAAGTAGAGGTCTAAAATTTGTAAGATTTTGCGGTACCCCCTGTAGCAAAAAATCTAAACGAGATTTTGAGGTTTTCTTTTTTGCATGTTGTTAAGAAACATATTCTTCAGTGGACTAATTATCAAAGTTTTGAAAATTTAAATTTTTTTCTATTTTTTATAGCCAAAAACTGTAAAAAAACCAGTGATTTTTTAAATTTTTACTTTAAAAGGACGCCATTTTGTTTTTTTTAGATTTTTTTAATTCCATGATATTAGTCCATTGGGTAATCATGTATAGTAAAAAAAAATTTTGGTTTTTTGATTTTGGACTGTCAGGGGCGGCTCTACAGGGGTACCGCAAAATCTTACAAATTTTAGACCTCTACTTTGGCGCCCTCTACAAATCGTAATTATCAATGAAAAAACAAAACAATTTTTGCTTTTTGTAGCTTTAATCATGTATTTTTAGGAATAAAAAAAGTTTTTAAATTTATATTAAAATGGCTATGAAAAAAAAATTGTAAAGAGGTGCCTATATTTCGTCTTCGCAAACGGAAGTACGCCTTAAATCAAGTTTTCTAATGTCTCTAAAATTAACAATTGATATTCAAATCAATATTCAGCTCGCAAACTATTATTTCACCCGTAAAACAATATTTAACCCGCTTTCTATTTAATTAATTTTCCAAAATCCAGCTTCCACAATTATCAAATAATCAATATTTTTTTCCACTATCAAAATAAATATTCAAAACCAATTTTATCTACTATCATATTTTATCCTCAAAATCCAAATATACTTATTGCCAATATTGAGCAACACAGTAAAAAAAAATAATTGGGAGTAAGCAAAAAGAATTGGTGGTAACTTAATCTGAATTCGGTTTGGCAAAAAAACCGAATTGGAACGTTACGGTGAATTAGTTTTTTCTTATTGTGAATTCTTTTCTGTTGAACATTTGAATTGACGTTTGTTTATTTGAGTGTGTATTATAAATGAATAGAATAAATGTTTCGAAGTGTAAAAAAGCCGATTTGGAATAAGAAATATATATTTTTTTAAAAAGAAATTAAAGCGAAGTGTGACAGATCCACCGACAATTTTATCAAGTGTGTAGTGTTCATATGATAAATTTACCATTGAGTACAACTCACATGTTAAAACAGTCGGTAAATCTGTCACATTTCTCTTTTATTTCTTTTTAAAAAATGATATATTTCTTAGACCAAATCGGCTTTTTTATACTTCGAAACATTTATTCTATTCATTTATAATGCAAACTCGAATAAAAAACGTCAATTTAAATGTTCAAGAGAAAAGAATTCACGGTAAGAAAAATATAATTCACCGTAACGTTCCAATTCGGTTTTTTCGACAAACCAAATTCAGCTTAAGTTACCACCAAATCTTTACGCTTACTCCTAATTATTTTTTTTACTGGGAATATAAAAAAACTAAATGGAATGAAGTATTTTTTTATATATCTGTATCCTGGGACTATTACAAGTTTTCTTTAGTAGCCGTTCCACTTCTGTGAGGAGAAGTGTTATACCCCTACTCTACCGGTCCGGGCCTATTTTAGGACCTCGCGTAAGGCAGACATTGCAGTAGGCATGAGTGGTGTTATCCATTGGTAAGTAAAGTATGGGTTCACCACTTCTACTCACGGGAATTAAACGGTCATCACCTATGTCACGTATACAATAATAGAAAAACAAATTTCCCTCAACCCAAGGCTGTGTGGACAAAACGGGCCTGGCTCGGACCTCAAGTAAGTCAATTACAGCGGGGGCTCTGTGTGGCGTTCTCGGGCTTAAGGACAATATTATTTTATAACGCTTAATAAGTTTTTCATACAAATTTTTAAATATAAACATTTTAAAAATTTATTTTGACATATTCGTATTCCTCAGAATTTCACGATTACGAGCATATGTTGGTCCAAATATAAATGTTAATATTCAAAAGTTTTACAATTTTGGTACAATAGACCTATACGATGTGTTTTAAACTGATTTAACCCAAAGGTGGTGGCACCAAAGATTTTCTTCTTGATTTTGATTATCCAGTATAACCACATGGTTATAGGTCGGGCGCGGCTAGTAAGATGAGGGACACAACTTCCCCTTACACGACAGTAATTAAACGATCATCGATCATCCTATATAAACAATAATAGAAAATAAACCCTCAACCGAAGGCTGTTTTTGACGAAACAAATTGCAGGTAGAAACCCTCGAGATCCCTCATTATCAAAGCAAATGTATATATAATCTAATAATAATGTGATCAATGATGTGCGATGATTAAATCGTCTTATTTGAAATAACGCTGATGAGCATTTCCACAGGAACCATTTAAAAATAAAAATCAAAAAGAAATTACACAAGTTTAAAATAATAATAAAATTTTATTAACTCACAATAAATATCACACATTTATAAAAAGTGAGATCACAAAATAAAAATATTAAATGAGCACGATAGCTCTTTTTGCGAAAAATAGCGAAATTTGAACAAAATCGTTCGCGAACGTGCTCGACCATACGAGATACAAAAGATTTCTGAAAGTAGCCGAAGAGCGACTCCGGCGGAGAACGAAACAACTTTCGATCTATCGATACTATCGATGTATCGTTCGATAGATTGAGCAGTCATTTAAATTATAATAAATTTCTTATGTGAATTCTTTAACATTACTGCCCCCCTTGAACTCTCTGTAGTTCAAAAGTTGTAACGTAGTTTAATCATAATAATTAAACGATGTAAAAAAAAATACAATTATTCATTTTCATGTTTTATAGGTAACAAAATCAATTTCGCAATAGGTCTAACATAGGTGCTTGACGCAGTTTTAATTGTGGCGACTCTAACGAGATTGTCGGAACCCTTTGTGACTTGAATTACGCGACCTATCGGCCATTTTGTTGGTGGTAACGATTCGTTTTTTATTAACACGAGTTGATTAATCTCTAAATTTCTATTATTTAATTGCCATTTGTTACGCTGTTGCAAAGATAGTAAACAATCTTGCAACCAAGTCTTCCAGAAAGACTCCAAAAGTTGTTGCCAGAGCTGCCATCGAGACAGTCGATTTTCTTTAACATCAAGTAACGAAATTTCTGGTATCGCAGTAAGTTCACCACCAATTAAAAAATGACCCGGTGTCAGTACACGTAGATCTGTCGGATCGTCGGTAAGAGGATTTATTGGTCTCGAATTCAAGCACATTTCAATTTGGCAAAGCAAAGTATTTAATTCCTCAAAATGAGGAGTTCGATCTTTTCAAACCCTTCTCAAATGATATTTAACACTACGAACGCCGAATTCCCAAATCCCACCAAAATGCGCCACAGCTGGAGGAATGAATTCCCATCGAATTTTATCATTAATTACATATGATTGTATTTCAGCCGATTTAACGACCGATTTAAAAACTTCATCAAGTTCCCGTTGAGCACCCTTGAAATTAGTTCCATTGTCACTGTAAATGACTTGGGGTAATCCACGACGACTTACGAAACGCTTTAAAGTCGCAATAAAAGCTTCTGACGTATAATCACTGACAATCTCTAAGTGGATTGCTCGAACAGCAAAACAAATAAATACGGCGATATAAGCCATATGAGACGAATGTCCACGACCCTTTTGTGATTTTAATTTAATAGGACCAGCGTAGTCCACTCCGACGTGTAAAAAGGGCCTTAAAGGACGCGAAACACGATTAATCGGCAATGATCCCATTAACTGTTCAGCAACCGTTGCTTTAAGACGAACACACGTAACGCAATTATAAATTACCGATTTAATGACTTGACGCGATCGTAAAATCCAAAAGAATTGTCGAATTTGATTTAACTTGAGTTGAAGGCACCGTGTAAACATTTTTCATGAAAATATCGAATAATCATAACAATGAGTGGATGTTTTTTAAGAATCGCAGGATGACGTCTATCATATTCTAATGGAGCATTCAAGAGTCGTCCTCCAACACGTAAAACATTTTTGTCATCAAGAAACGGGTTTAAATTCAAAAGTCCACTTGATTTAGGTAGTTGTTTATTATCTTTTAATAATTTAATTTCATTCGGAAATAAACGTATTTGAATCAATCGAACAATAACCAACTGACTATCGTGGCAAAATTCCACAAATGAAGGCATATCAATGAATTCACGATTTCGAATTATTAATTTTGTTTTTAACCATAAAAATTTTAAAATAAATGCAACAATTTTTTGAAGAATTTTCCATTTAGAAATTTTATCGATTAGGTTATCAAACCACATAGGTGTATCTTCAATAACGTGAGTAACGTGAACACGAGCTTCGAGATCAGTAATTGTGTCTATAACTTCTTGAAAAGAAGGCCATGAATTTTCTGGATCTGATAACCATTGAGGACCTCTCCACCACAACTCACTATTACGAAAATGAGACGCTCGAATTCCTCTTGAGCCCAAATCATCTGGGTTTTCCTCTGAATTAATGTGTCGCCATTTTTCAAAAAAAGCGATTGATTGAATGGCTGCAACGCGATTGGCCACGAATGTTTTCCATTCGGATGAGTGTATTTTCAATCACGCGAGCACTATCGTGGAATCAGTCTAATATGTAGAAGTCAAATTTGAAAAAACTGATATATCTTTTATTGCGGATACGAGTTGAGCCAAAAGTAATGCTCCACAAAGTTCAAGTCGTGGCACCGAAAGCACCTTTATTGGAGCTACTTTTGTCTTACTCGATAGAAGAGTTGTTTGAATTTCACCAGATTTAAAAACCAATCGAATGTAAACTACGGCAGCGTAAGCCACATTAGAGGCATCGGAAAATCCGTGAATAGAAGATTTGACTACCGTTTCACCTTGTCCAGTCCATCGCGGTATTGACAACTCATTCAAACAAACTAAATCTTTATAATAGGACATCCAAAATTCTTGTAAATTTTGAGGTAATTCTTCATCCCAATTTACTGATTTCAGCCATAATTTTTGCATAAATATTTTCGCAGTAACTATAACGGGAGAAACTAAAAGAAAGAAACTAATTGAAGGTAATTGTATTTTGAACTGATAAATGTCCTGAGCGGGGACCCAAACAATTCCAAGAATTTTCAATGAGTCATCCTCACTTAGAGGCTTTTCAAGTGCATGACCATGATCTGATGGATCAATATCTTCAAGTAATGATAAAGAGTTACTTGCCCACTTCCTCAAACGGAATTTACCCTTTTTAAGAAGTGCTATCAGTTCATGACTCACCTTCGTCTACTACCAATTGTTGCAAAACTCTCAACGCTAAATAAGGAGCAGCAGCAGTACCATAAGTTACAGTATTTAAACAAAATTCTAATATTTGTTTTAAGTATGAATCATACCACAGAATTGTTTGATAGTTACGGTCTTTCTCGTCGATTAAAATTTGTCGATACATCTGAGCAATATTTGACCTTTTTTCAGACCATCACGAATAATTAATCCGTACAAATCGGCCCCGATTAAAAAGTGAATAGACTTGGATGATGTTGACAACTCATCATCAGCCAAATCAACTCCTCTTAAATAAGGTTTTTCTAAAATTTTACTATCAACTGTAGGAACGTATTTAGTAATTTGTTTTACTATTAAAGCATTCGAATTAATTAAGGGGTTTTTATTTTCTTTTGAACCGAGCGAAATAAAAGCAAAACCCGACGAAATTCCTGCATTAACATCACCAACCCCTTTAAGCTGGATATTGGATCGAACTGGACGAATTTGTAAAGCATTTGCTAGTTCTTCCGAAATAAATGTCCAGGTTGATCCTTGATCCACTAATGCCCGAACTTTAATTGAACGTCCCTTTTTAGAAGTAACAATAACCTGAGCGGTGGCTAAAAGAATTCGATGAGACCTCACTCCTCCAGGAGTCGCATGAAAAGATTGTGCAACCGAAACATTTTCTTTATTTTCAGATGGTAATTCGGAGGATGATGACTTATCTTGAGCTGACTTTGCTTGGTCAGATTTTACATTATTTTTGAAATGCAATAATGTATGATGTTTCGCTTGACATTGTCCACAAGTATACGTAATTGTACATTTACTTACTGAATGACCTTGATCGAAACAGTTTAAACATAAATTTTTCGACTTCACAAAGGCCGTAGCCGGATAAGCAGGGTCCTGCGGCCCCCGCTCAAATTTCGTCGATATTTACAGGATCAATTAGTCTCAGTATGAAACTTTTTTTTGCCAAGTTTCAACTTCTAAAAATAATTTTGAAAAAAGTTATGGCATTTTTAAAAAAAAATTAAAAATTGGATTTTCTCTTAAGCGTTTATAGTTTTTTAATCGGGTAAAAAATATGTTATAGGGGAAGCAAAAATGCATCTAACAAAAATTTGGCGACTATTTTTGTGTAGTGGAAGGGGTAAAAAAAATTTGTTTTTACTTTTTATATTTTTTAAAAATATTAATTGACTTGGCACAATCACCATATTTTTTTCCTACATTCTTTAACATCCAAGAAGCAACATATTTTTTTGGCAGCTCGATCTGAGGGGTACTTGCCCGTTAAAATTTAAAAAAACTTATTTTTGGCCTTTAAAATGCATGGTATCTCATGAAAATGGGGGGCCAACATCACCGGGCAAAGAAAATGTTAAAAAGGAAGCAAAAATGCATCTAACAAAAATTTGGCGACCATTTTTGTGCAGTGGAAGAGGTAAGAATATATTTTACTTCTTACTTTCTTTAAAAATTTTTAATTGACTAGGCACAATCGCCCTATTTTTTCTTCCCTTCTTTTTTACATGCAAATGTGTGCCTTCTTTTGGCAGCTTTATGAGTGAAACTGAACACAGTAAAAAGAGAATCTTATTTTAAGGGCGGAATTAAGTCTTATTTTAAGACGCAACATTTTTAAGACAGGCATTGTTGATTTTAAAAAGGGAGTATGTAAGCTGATTTTCAGAACTTTTTATGTGCTATATTGAAGGCAATTTTTTGGTAAAAGCAGCAGCCCCAAGCTGCTTAGCTTTTATAAATTAAGGCTCAAAGGGAGTTGAATTTCAAACACTCTGTAAATTCAGATTTATAAGTACCTTAAATTCATACAAGGCTCACTTTAAATTAAGACTATGTTGATTTCCAAGAATCATTTAATTTAAGATTAACCTTAATATAAGATTTACTTTTTACTGTGAGACATTAAGTAAAATAACAGGCAATTATTAAAAGTCAAGTGTATTTTTAGTGCACGGCACTTTTTTCATTAATATTATAATTATATAAAACTATATTAACATAAGTTTAGTATATCTAACTTATCATAAATACAATAACATTTATTATTCGTGTACTTTTCGTTACTATTACTAGTTCTGCAACACTCTTAGTGCAGAATCATATGCACAGTATTCCGCCATTGAACACCAAATTTTTTTTAAATGTATTTTTGCTGTCCTTTTAACATATTTTTTGCTCGGTTATGTTGGCCCCCCATTTTCATAAGATACCATGCATTTTAAAGGCCAAAAATCAGTTTTTTTAAATTTTAACTGGCAAGTACCCCTCAGATCGAGCTGCCAAACAAATATGTTGCTTCTTGGATGTTAAAGAATGTAGGAAAAAAATATGGCGATTTTGCCAAGTCAATTAAAAATTTTAAAAGAAAGTAAGAAGTAAAATATATTCTTACACCTTCCACTGCAGAAAATTCAACACCAAATTTTTTTTAAATGCATTTTTGCTGTCCTTTTAACATATTTTTTGCTCGGTTATGTTGGCCCCCCATTTTCATGAGATACCATGCATGTTAAAGGCCAAAAATAAGTTTTTTTAAATTTTAACGGGTAAGTACCCCTCAGATCGAGCTGCCAAAAAAATATGTTGCTTCTTGGATGTTAAAAAATGTAGGAAAAAAATATGGTGATTGTGCCAAGTCAATTAATATTTTTAAAAAATATAAAAAGTTAAAAAAAAAATTTTTTTACCCCTTCCACTACACAAAAATAGTCACCAAATTTTTGTTAGATGCATTTTTGCTTCCCCTATAACATATTTTTTACCCGATTAAAAAACTATAAACGCTTAAGAGAAAATCCAATTTTTAATTTTTTTTTAAAAATGCCATAACTTTTTTCAAAATTATTTTTAGAAGTTGAAACTTGGCGAAAAAAAGTTTCATACTGAGACTAATTGATCCTGTAAATATCGACGAAATTTGAGCGGGGGCCGCAGGACCCTGCTTATCCGGCTACGGTCTTTGAATCGCTTTTCAGCAGAAATAATTTTAAATTCTGAACATTTAAACAATTTATGCGCTAATTTACAGAAAGGGCAACTATTATTATTATTCGAGACCACATGAGATCGTGCAATTTTAGTTTTCGATTTATTTTCTTCTTTACTTTGAATCGCTTCTAAAGCTCTAACACGTGAATCTAAAAAATTTAAAAGAATTGAAAAATGAGGGTAATCAGTCGAATTTCCTAGAAATAATTCCCAGGCCATGCGTGTGTTAAAATCTAATTTTTGCGAAACATAAAAAACTAAAATATCGCTAACTCCATCACAATATTTGCTATCTTGTTCAACTGTCAAACCTGAAAAACGATTTAAATTCTCTAATGCCGCAATTTTTTCTGTCACAATATTTCGAATATTTTTAAGCTATGAAAGCGATTCATTTTTCATGGGTTGAATTGAAAATAACACTTTTAATTCAGCTTGAATGATCGCGCGAGGATTTTCATATCTATTTTTAAGACGATCCCATGCAGAAACAAAATTATTTTCAATTAATGGAATATTTTTCAATAATAATAAGGCTTCGCCTTCAACAAATGACTTTAAAAAATGAATTCTTTGTAAATTGTCAAGTGACTGATTTTGAATTATTAATGAAATAAAATAATCACGAAAAATTACCCAATCTGTTGGCTTACCAGAAAACCTTGGAATATTAATTCTTGGTAACGGTGTTGACAGGTGTGCAGGAGTCGATGATGACGTTGGAGCTGTAGGTGCACGAGACAAAATCAATTCTTGTTCCAAACGAGTAACATCCTTCATAATGACATCGTTAAAATTTAAAAAATATTCCTCAGCTTTCTCAAATTTTCCATCGATAAAATAAGAATTACTCATATCCTTTTTGACATTTTGAATCTGCGACTCAGTTGCAATGCACACTTCCCATATTTGAGAAATAAGCCTCAATCGATTATTCAAGGCAGCGAAGGTTATGTCACTACCGGTGACAGCATGTTTTGCCGAATTGCAATGACGTTTTAAAGTTTCTAAGTTGCTGATCAATAAGATGTTGTAATGTCAATTGTTCCGAAAATTTCATGATTGTAGATTTTCAACTACACGACAAAAGATTAAAAAATCCTGTAGATTATTTTTCACCACCCAGTGTTTAAAAAACAAATTGATAAATGTTCAATAAAAGAAAATGATCGATTGTGATATATCAGATCGAATATGCTGTCAAAGTATGCGCATAACGATCGCGCATCAATAACAATGGCTGACAATAAGCGCTTACACCGGTGGGAAATTGCACACGATTGCGCAATATTTCGAAAATTTGCACGACACAACAAACAAAACAATTAAATGTCCCAACAGTTTTTTTTCCGAAAAAGGTTCACTAATTTTGATCAATGAGATCAGAATATTCACTAAAACGTGCACATGAGAGCATCGAATTATGCGTCGCAATGTTGACGTTTAAAAACAACGACACGAAAATGCGAACTTGTGTAAGAATGCGAAACTCGCGAAAGTCGAACTTTTCAATCACTTAAAATGTTCCAATGGATCCTGGCAGGATCGCCAAATAATGATCAATGATGTGCGATGATTAAATCGTCTTATTTGAAATAACGCTGATGAGCATTTCCACAGGAACCATTTAAAAATAAAAATCAAAAAGAAATTACACAAGTTTAAAAAATAATAAAATTTTATTAATTCACAATAAATATCACTCAGTTATAAAACGTGAGATCACAAAATAAAAATATTAAATGAGCACGATAGCTCTTTTTGCGAAAAATAGCGAAATTTGAACAAAATCGTTCGCGAACGTGCTCGACCATACGAGATACAAAAGATTTCTGAAAGTAGCCGAAGAGCGACTCCGGCGGAGAACGAAACAACTTTCGATCTATCGATACTATCGATGTATCGTTCGATAGATTGAGCAGTCATTTAAATTATAATAAATTTCTTATGTGAATTCTTTAACATAATGAGAAATTTCAAGTGCTAAGAAAATGTGAATGAATGAAGGAATGAATACAAAGATTATTATAAGATAATAATAATAATAATATTTACATCTATTTACGGCATGAAGAGGTTCTATCAGGTACTGCGAATTAAATTCTGTCGTAGTTTATAATAATGATATTTGTATATGTTTTGTCCGCACATTTATTTTAACACGCGGTTCTGAATTAATTAATTGTTTATTCTTAATTAACAGAAGGTATAATTAGTAAAAAACCAAGTTGACATTTTACTTTAAATATATGTATAATTTCATATTAAAAAACGTACATGTGTTAGATGTACTGTTGTGATTCATGTAGAACTAACAATAAATTTTTAATTTCGTGCTTCGGTTTCGACGTTCGACAGATTTCTGATCAATTTTCAAATTTGAAGTTTTGCGTTGAGAAGGAGAGGGATGAGCTAAAATTAGTAAGAAGGGATAGACATCTAGGATTGGTTAAAATTAGGAAAAACCCAAAAAGGTGGAGTTGTTACATTTGCCTGTGACGTAAGCGTTGCCGTGACAAATATGAGAGCGAGTATCGACGGACTCTCATTGTTTTCAAACAATGATCCTAATCCTGAGGATTAAGGCGATCCTTACTCCAGCAGATAGATACATTTTAAATAGCTTTCTCTAAATTACACCCGTAAATTTAGAAAAGCGAATTTTATGATTACAAGAAAATTTGAGAACCTAAGAATACTACTAACCATAAAAATCGATATTTAATTTCTTTGAAACCGAAAATAACGGATAATCCTAGTTTATTTTAGTATTGTGAATGAGGTGTTGTGTTCGTTTTAATTTTTGAAATTGTTATTTTGTAAAGGTTTTTATTCTGTCGCTTAAGTATACTTTATTATTACAAGCAATTTTGAAAAATAGTGAAATATAATAAAATTGTGTGCGACACAACAGTATAAGTTTTATATTACTTAATTTTTATATTGAAGATTAGAAAGCGCGTGTCATTGTAATTTTTTTATTCATGAAATTAAATGATTAATGAGTTTCTTCATGTTATAAACAATTTTCAAATATATTAAACGTGAAAATAAATACCGTTTAATATAATAAAATAAGTCTGAACTTGATTTTTTACAGTTAAGTATTTATTTTAATTATTATTATATTCTTCTCTGTACTGCTTAAGAGTACGCAGTAATAATTTTTTAAAAGTATTTACCGTACTTTACAAAAATTTGATCGGCTAAACTGTAATTAATGTTAATAAATAAGGTAATAATTGTTAAATATACAAAAATTTATAATTTATTAAAAATAGAAATAAATCAATAGTAAATTGGTAGGTTATAACCTGCGTACTCTTAGGAAGGTTTCAATTAATTGTCATTTATATGACTAAATAAAAAAATAATATATTTAATATACATAAATTAGTAATATAAGAAAAATGATAATGTAAAAAATTATTTTTTCCTGTATTTATTTATAAATGTTGATTCTCTTTAAAAGTATAGAACATGCGTACTCTTAGGCATGCCTTGCCTAAGAGTACGCAATTGATTTTTCTTCAAAAATATTTAATTTACGAAAAAAATAAAATAATATTTCTAATTCCAACATCGAATATCCATTCTACAGATGTTTCACTGTAATTTAGTCATTTATTTGTGAGTTTTTAGTTTTAAGTTTAAAAGTAATTCCAAAAAAAAATAAGTGCGTACTCTTAGGACACTTCACCCTAGTATCATTTCTGTCTCTAAAATCACACTTATGCTAGAGAGGTAGAAGCATTATAACTCCGACTTGTTTTATTATTTATTACTATTTGAGCTTAATTTTTTCTACATTGATGTGTTTCAATATTATTCAGCTACATCTGATCTGACTCTATTGTTTGCTAAAGTAAACCATAATCGTTAGCAAAATGGCAATTACAAGATTATTGGGTTTCTATCTACCCATTATCAGCATTCTGTCAATATTCGTTCACACAAATTGTCAAACGACACCAAGTGAGAATAGTTCTTCAGAAGGTAAGAAAGATTTAATTATAATTAGTTGTTTTCACTTCATACTAATTATCAACTTTGGTAAATTGTTTTTTATATTCGTATTTTATTTTAATTTCATATTTTTGTTAACAGGTATCTGTTTTAGTTCCAATGATGAGGTTTATGTGGAAATGAAAACATCAGGTAATTTCACCCTGAAATGGAAAAAGCCCAATCTCACTGGTTTAATAACTTATCAAATAAGTCCTTATAAAACTTATGGTGAGTAACAATTTGTTGAAAAATAAGGTTTTGTTATCAATAGACTCGTGAGATAAAACTGTATCTAATACTTGAAATTAAAAAGTGTAAATTTTAATTATTTGTTAAAATTAATTAGTATTGAATTGACAGTAATTTGCAAAAAATTATTGAATACATTGGAAAGAAAACACACGAAGTTCTTAGCGTATTTCAAAATTTGCAAAAGACATTAAATACATCGCGAATTACAGTTTAAAATCATACGCCAGGACTTTTGTGTTTTTTAATCTGTAAATTTTGATGTATTTTTTACTTTGGATTGGCCCTAAAATATCTCACAAGTGCATTATTAAATGCAATTGTTTAAATAATCAATTTTTAATCGCAAAATTAGATAGAGTACCAGCAATTGACCGAGTGAATAAATTGTTTTTTCATTACGGTGTATTGATATCCTAATAATTTCATAAAAGAACGAATTAATAATGGACATATATGTTTTTTCTTGTAGAATCTGACTATTGTAGATATTATAGTACTAGTGATGATTGTCCAACTTATACAGTATTCAATGTGAGGAAATATGTTCAATATGTTCAATTTTTTGTTCATATTCTTGACGGAACTCCTTATAGTACGTTGTCTAGCTCCGTATTTAACTTCACAGGAATAAAAGGTATGGATCTCAACATTCAGTAATTAGTTGTAATATTAACTTTTATTAGGCTTAGTAAAAACCAATTGAAAATGAGGATTTTTATTTAGCATTTTAAAGTTCCCTGAAATAATTCTTAAACAAAATTGTAAAACAACAACACACAATTTTAAAAATGTTGTTACTTCATTTTTGTTGTATTTTAAATTTTTGAGAATAATCACTAAAGGTTGACAAAACATTTATGAAACTTAAGTGTTTAGGAACATAAGCTGATAGAGTAAAATTAACTTTTCAGTTTAAAGCTTAATTCAAACTTTTGTTTTAATACACATTAACAACCTGTTAAGGGTAATTTTTAAATTTGAATTTTATTGTAACTTTATATTTTAATTTGTAGATGGTTGTCTACTTAGGGGAGGTTTAGAAGTATTTAATATCACTGAAACATCTGCCATTCTGCAATGGAACAAGCCTAAAAATTGTAACTACATGTTTGTGAATTATACTGTGTTGATAAATCTTCTGGAGACATTTGAAAAGGTATATCAGGAAATACCTTTTCCTTTTAATTCTACCAATTTCACAGTGAAAAATCTTTTACCAGGAAACGTATACGAATTTACATTAGTTGCTCATCATTTCGCAGCAGAAACTAGTAATATCTATAGCCCACATATCAGAACTAAACATCATTTAGGTACGAAACAGCATTTAGAATTCACATATCCTTCTTTTTTAATGCTTATTAATTAACATGCATTGAAACAATACTGTTATTTTAATAATATTCTGTTACAGATTCAAAAATTGATTCTTATCTCAGGGAAACATCTAATTCAACTGACGATGATCAACTCATCGAAGTTTTACAAGTCACTGATAGTAGCGTTGAAATTAAGTGGTATCAACCTGTGAATATTTCCATCGCTGCAGACAAGGAGCTTTTTGTAATCGATTTAAATAATACTACGGAACCTGAGTCGCGTAAAATGAAAGATTTTTATAATCTTACAATTAGAACAATAGACGAGGATACTTTAACAACTGACATTGATAACTTTGAGGAGTTATGGCCTAACGATAAGATGTATTTTATAGGGACACTCTCAAATTTAAAACCCAAAACAAATTATATATTTCTAATTGCGTATACGGTTGAGAACAGAGTTGTTTTTCTCAAAAGCAAAAAAGTCTTAACGTCTTAACTTATTAACATTTGAAATAAAATAATTTAACACTGTTAATTTGTATATAATAATAAATATATTTACGAGACATAATATATATATGTATATATACTAGGGGGGCTTCGCCCTCTGCGCGCCAACCCTCTATTTAAATTTACTAAAATTATTAAATATTATTTTGATTAAATTTACATTATTTAATAAAAAGTTTTTAAATTTGAACAGCAGAAATTTATTTATATTTTAATATGAACATAAAATATATTTTAACTTGCATCCGTAAACTAAATTTTCATCTATTCTGCAATTAAAAAGTTAATTAGGAACGGAATAAGTTTTCATATGTTTTCAAAGATTAATTTTAGACAAATTCTTTAACAAAAATTTATTCTTTCATTCTAAAGAATTTATATCTAAGATACACCACGGATGACGTCCTACTAACATATGACCCTAATTTTGAGGTTATGTCAGTATTTTTCTGTGATTTTGACCAAATTTTGAGGTTATGTTCGCCTCCACGCCTATGACATTTGACGTAAATTTGAGGCTATGTTCTCTTTTGACCTGTGACCTTTGATATTTTAAGGGGAGGATTATCTTTTAACTTCTGATACTAATTTTGAGGTTATTTCTGTTTCAACTCCTTCAAAAACTTTAATTTTTGAGGTTATGTTCGTTTTAATCTATGATTTCGTCGTTCGACCTTGAGTATTGATATTATCTTAATTTTTAACCTATGTTTTTGATACACTGTAAAAAGAAGGTTCAAATAGTACCGATTTTAGGTATTAAAATAGTACCAAAAATCAATTTAGTACCCGAAATTGGTATTAAATTAATAGCTCTCGTTTTACAGTGTATAGATAGTACAATCTCTGAAATTTTCAAGACAAATTCTGAACGGTACGCGAATTTGAATGCTTCGCGAGTTGAATGGTAGGCGAGTACAACGAGTTCCCGCGTAGTGTCGAAATTCTCGCCTAGTGTTCATTTGAGACAAAATAAGGAACGGTACGAGAGTCGGAATGCTTTCGTATCATGAGGGGCCCCTATGAATCACCCATATGCGCCCCTTATGGCATGAGGGCGATCCATAAGGGCCCCCGCTGGGGGCCTACATCACTTTTCCACACGGGTATTTATAAATATATTTGTTTATTTATAAACAATTGTTTATTTACAAATACATTTATTTATTTAAAAAATTAATTTTACATAAATATTTATTTATTTATTCAAATTAATTATTAATAATTATTATTATTTATAACAAAAATGTTACGATGACGTGACAGTTCGCTTTAAAAAAATCTGTATTTTTTAAAAAACTAAATATTTTCTTGTCAGAAATATGGTTTCTCAGTTTTTATTTCATCAAGACATTCATTATCTACTTGAAAACAAGTGTTGCCTGACAAAAGTAGTTCCTATATAATTAAAAACTGAAAATTGTCTTACTAAGATAACTTTACCTACTAGAAACAAATTCTGCCCATTATAAATAAATTTTTTTAAAATAAAAAAATTAAATGGTGTCTTACTAAACATAAGTTTTTCTACTTACACTGCAAAAACGGGTGTCTTATTTTGAGACATAAGACACTTATCGACTTGTTTTATTGGTTAGAAAAATATCTAAAACATTCCGTCATTGGCCGAAATCTAAGACACCATAAAATGTCTTAAAAATAAAAACAAAAATGTCTTAAAATAAGACATCCTTTTTTGCAGTGTCCGCAAACTTTGTCTAAAGAAAACTAAATTTTTTACTTTTAAATAAATGTTCCCTATGAAATTTTATAAAAAATATACAACTGTACACTAAAAAAAATGTATTTAATTTAAATAATTATCTGAATCAAGTAACCGGTTACAATCGGTTACTTGACTATTATTCAAATAAATAATTCCTTTTTTTCAGTGTATTTTTTTAAAAACTAAATTTTTTACTCTTTAAAAATACGGTTTCTAAATTTGTTTGACCTAGACATTTTTTATGTACTTAAAAATTTAAATAAATTATGTGATACCAGAAATTAAAATGGAATTGTAGAACAACTACACTTATTATTATTGGTATAAACACACAACCAATATTTACTGCCAATACAATATTCATTTTATATCTTTCTCTCTTTCTCTCTCTCTCTCTCTCTCTTTCCAGACATTGAATTCATCATAAAACCACAGTCAGCTATTCAAATGATACACCAGAATAGACAATAAAATTTCGCGAAACTAACACACCCATTTATTTCCCACATGCGAATTAACTCTCTTGTATATAAAGACACATTTTATTTATGGAAAACCAAAGAAAGTCAAAGAAATGCAGTTAAACAATAATATAGCAATATAAACGCAGATATATTGTTCCACGATATAAAATTTGCAATTTTTCATACTTCCGAAAAAGTAGGTTAGTCACTTTTAAATAAAATTTAGACTCGTTGCAAAAATTCATGATACTAATGATTATGAGAATTTATATAATAATACTACATGACTTTTTTTATTTATTTAGCAAAATAAAATTCAAGTTTAAAAATAAAATCCTAATTTAAAAATTAAATCCAAATTTTAAAATTAAATGCAAATTTGGAAATTAAATTCAAATTTTAAAAAATATTATTTTTTTTGTTAATTAAAAACATTTATTTAACATTTATTCATGAAATCAATTGTTTATTCCAATGATTTTTTTTATTGTCCACAATCCATTAGTTTATTTACATGTATATTTTTTTAGTATAATGTTTATCTAAAAATATGGATGAGTTTTAAATTTAAAAAATGGAAATATACAATTCTTTTCTTTTTATTAATTAATAATAGTACAATAATATATATTATTTTATTATTATATATTGAAATAGATGAAAAAATTTGCAAATTAGCATCATTTAATTATTCATAGATATCGCTATTCTAATTAGCGACAAACAACTTCTAATTAATATAAAATCTCATTAATATTTAACCACTCAACACTTATTAAACACGGAATTTCCATTATTAATGGAAGTATTAACACATTTCCAATAAAAAGATAAAAAGATTGAAAAAAGAGAAAAAATTTCACAACAAAAAAACAAAAATATTTCTTTATCCTACTAATTTTTTAAAAATTATTTTAAAAAAAGATTTCTATTTAAAATATATATTAAAAAAAAATTTCTTTTAATGATGATATAAAATATAATTAAAAATATCGAATAATTAATTTACTAATTAAAGTCAATTATTGGAAATATTCTTTTTTCCATATTTTTATATTCAAAAGAGTAAATATACAAATACTTAATAAATAATCACTTCGTAGTGATAATAGTAATATAATAATAATAATTAGATATGTAATAGATATATAGACAAAGGTAGGTATTTTTCTCATTTGACTTTTTTTATCACATATAAATATTGGTAACGACCATAAAATCATTTAAAATTTTTTTTGTCAGCCTTTAAATGATATGTTGATTATCTTAGATTCAATACAGAAATTCGTGGGTGCTTTAAGGCACAGTTTTTTATCTTCAAACACTTTTTTAATCATTCACTATTATTTTCTAATTTCTAATTAATATTTTTAATAAACCTGACTGCAATAAAAATAAAAATAAAACTAAAAATAAAAATAAAATAAAAAAATAATAATAATAGAAATAATTATGATAATAATAAATAATAAAAAAAAGTCTATAAAAATTAATTTAACACAATGGTAACGAGGGGGGAGGGGGTCCAAAGAGAATGAAAAATTAGTAACGTAACTTATGGACGGTCCCTAATTGAAAAAAATAATATAAATTAATAAATAAGGAGCAAAAAAGTTGATATAAACAAAAGGATATAACAAAAAAAAACAGGAACAAACGAAAATAAAAAAACCAAAAATTCGTTCAAAAAATTATATTTTTTTTCTATTTTTTGCGTGATTCGTAAACACAACATAATTTATAAATTAACATACACAATCTCGTCGATAATAATAATAATAATAATAATAATAATAATAATTATTATTATTATTATTATTATTAATAATAATAATTTATACAGCAGATTCACGACAATGTTCGATTTCTTCGTCATCAATTTTTTTTTCTTTTTCTTCTTTTTTTTTTTAATATTATAACATTATGTCGATCAAGTATCTATTTTTTTAAATTAACGTTCTCACTTAGTTCTTCGAGAAAAAAAAGAATGACAGAAAAAGAGGAAATAAAAATAGGGTACATGGAAAAATAAAAAAAAATAAAAAAAAAAATAGATATGTGAAAATAAGACAAAAATATTAAGACTAAACAAAAAATACAATAAATGCGCGCAAAGAGCCTCGAACAATATTTTTCACAATTTTTTCTTCTTCTTTATTTGTCGCAAATAAGAATTAAATATATATATATATTTATATGATCATTAAGGATCGAAGGGGATTAATTAATGACTGGAATGAAGAAAACTTAAATCGAGAAAGGACTCACGAATAGGATAACAAAATAAATAATAGAAGCGTTATAAACATGATTAATCACTTAACAACGTAACTAATTAATAATAATTATAATTGAAATAGTAAATTATATTATTATATCGTAATTGTGATGATGGCTATAATAATTACAAGAATTTTTTTTTCTGGCATTTTAACCAATATTAAATATATATATTTATATAAGTCTGCGTTTCACAAATCTCAGAATCTCTCATGTTTTTTTTTCCTAAGTAAAATCGATAGAAATCGAAGATTCGCTTCAGTTTAAGGCTGATTCGTATTTTTTTATGAAAGAGCCGACGAGAGATATTCGATGATTATATATATTTATGAAAATCTCAGTGATCTCTTATCAATAATATCAACACTAACAATAACAATTTTTCTCAAATATTAAAAAATAAAAATGAAAAAAGAAAATAAAAATGAAAAGAGGATCCAATTTATCCTCATAGCGATTGATGCAGCCAATCGTTTTTCCCTCTCATTCGTTTTCGCGAATCCTCGTTTCTTATTCACAATAAATCTTTAAGTCTTTTAAGGAGTCTTACAAACAGGAAGTACTCTAAGAACCTGGCAAGCGAATACAAAAAGACGGAACTTGAGAAAATGCTTTTTCTTATTTCCGTTATTATTTTTTTTTTTCGTGCCTACTTCTTATCACTAGAAAAAAAATTTCACATACAAAAATACGACTTTGTACTCAGTGACGTTAATCCATTAATTTAAAAAAAATTTAATTATTTAATTTAATTTTTTATTTATTTATTAATATATTAATATAATATATTATTATTTTATTATTTTTACAAACAAATTTTTATTTATTCGATTTATTATCAGAAAATAAATCTGAAAAAAAATTAAAAAACCAATTTTTTGATTGAAATATCAAGATTAACATCACTGAAATTAATTTATTAAATTTGTTTAATTTGACATGTTCAAGTATATAGGATGATTTAAAAATAGTGGCTGAAATTTTTTTTTTTAAGTTTGTGGCTTCAATTCCTTCCAATAAGAAAATTTAACCCGCAAATATTAAAAATTTGAATAATATCCATTTTCACTCGGTACAAATTTTTATATTAAAAAAAAAAAAAAATGTTCATTGATAACTCTTGAAAAACATTGAAAATTGAAATTATTAAAAAACTAAAATAAATAAAAGCAACATTATGTAGATGGAAAAAAATATAAAAATATAATAAAATAAACGTAAAAATAAAAGACACAAATTTTCTCAGAAAGGAATTCAAGCCACAAAAAAAACCGAAAAATCCATTTTTAAATCACCCCACGAATATTCGATTATTTTTTAGTTTTTTTGTCACCGAGGACAATGTCGATTTTTTCACTCCTTCTCTTTTTAAAACATCCAATTATCATATTTAATATCTATTCGTATGAAAGTTTTCTTAATTTTAAAAGAGACCAACATGCTCTGTCTCCGACTAATTAATATACAAAACAAACAAAAAGAAAAACATAACTTAACATCGCTGGGACGTAGATATAGGAATTGGTCCTCAATATCTTATGACAATTGACTCGTTTTTTTTTTGTTTTTTTCTATCTTTTAAGAAATCGTTTATAGAAAAACGTCTTTTTTTAATCATGCCCTGCATGATTTTTTCTAATGACCTTTGTATTTTACAAAAAAAACCTCGTCCAATAATTTTTTTTCGAAAGTAAATACAATTTGACGATTCTCCTTCTTTTAAGTAATAATAATAATAATAATAATAATAATAATAATAATAATAATAATAATAATAATAATAATAATAATAATAATAATAATTATAATAATAATAATAATAATAATATTAATAATAGTAATAATAATAATAATATATAATAATAATAATAATAGTAATATTTAATAATTAATAATAATAGTTGATAATATGTAGTGTTAAATTAAATTAAAAATAAAATAATATTAAATAATAATAATAAGAATAATAATAATTAATAATGATAATAATAATAATTTTTATTTTTTAATATTATTATTATCATTGTAATTATCGTAGAAAAAAATAACATATGACACTAGTTTCTAGTAAGCGTACAGAGTTACTGCACGATAGTAATATGCATTAACTTCAGTTTCTTTATTTATTTTATTTTTTTTTTTTGCAGGTACGTGTTCATCCAAGTTTCTTATATATTTATCGTATTTTTTTATATTATTGAATTTATTTCATTTTTTAAAATGATAAAAAATTCTCTCTTTTTTTTAAATAGAATATTAAGAAAAAAAACATTATTATTGAAGGTAATTCAAATAAAGATTTTTTGTTTTTTGTTGACACACCGTTAAAGGTATGAGAAATACAAAAAAATTTAGACGAGAAAAAGTGAAAATCGACGTTATTATTTTTTTTTATATATATTATACTTTCATTGAAAATTGGAATTTTCATTTTGAATTTTTATTCCATGAAAATCCAAATTTATATATATATATATATATATTATATTTATATCGAAAAATTGTAATGTTCATTTTTATAAAATCGAACATTGATATATAGAAACTTTTATTTGTTTATTATAGAATTAAACACAGAAAAAAGGTTCCTTTTTTCATTTATAATAACATACAAAATAGATTTCGTTTATACGATAAAGTAAATTTCTCCCAAAAAAAATTGTTATTTATATTAAATTTTTTATCTAAATTTCACAAAACTATAAACATTTTTTTGTTTGTTTAATATTACATTATGTTACACACATGTATTTAATTTATTTTTTATAAATATAAAAATAATGTACACATATGTGTAATTTCAAATTCAACGAAAAAGACAAAAAAAAAAAGTTAATAGTAGAATGGCACTTTTTAAATATTCTGTATATTGTGCGGTGGAAAAAAAAGAAAAAAAAATAGTGTCGTATAATTGAGCCAAGAGCGAAAAAAATTTGGCACATTATCCAGCCAGAGTAAAAAAAAATGATTTGAGATATCAAAGAGCGAGAGAATAAAAATAAAAAAAATATTCTCAAGTAATGGCAGCAGTCAGGCATGGCTGGATATTTGAATATTAATCGATATTCAATTTGAAAAAAAAATTAATACTAAATCTTAAGCACCGTTTTCATGTCAGCAGGAATGCCTAGTTTTTTTTTTTTTTAATTATTAAGCTTAGTTCTATTAGAGAGCGTTTTTTTTGTTCTATAAAAGCAAACTTCTAGTCACTTGTACAAAAAATTTAATTAACTTTTTCCTTGTATGTGAAAAAAAATTTACTTTAATCAAATAATTTTTATTTGAATCAAATACATTTTAATTTGACTGTACAAAAAAATCCCAAAATTGTATTTTCAATCTTTTCAATGAAATTTTATTTTATTTCTTTTTTCTCAAAAATTAAATTTCTATAAACAGTAAAAACAACCATAACTTTTAAAATATTTGGTACAAATGTTTCTTAAAATGTAACACATTTTTAATTTAAGTGAATTTTTTTAAAATTAAAAACATTAACTTGATAAAGTTAAAAATTACTAAATTATAAAAACCAAAAGTTAATTTAACGACAATTTTTTAAAAAGAAATCCAGTGGAAGTTTTTTTTTCATTATCATATATCAAAAGCTGGCGTACATTCCAAAAATAATAGTTTACAATGTATATAGGTACATTTCTTCTACGAGATGTATCTATAAAGACAAGAAATCTTCAAAAGATAAAAGACAAGAAATGGCATCCTTTGCCCTTACTCTCTGGACTTTCAGTTTGCTTTTACGATCGGCCAAGTTTCCTGTTGAGCGAGTCCGCATCGCCTTCAGGATCATAAGGTGGAAGTACACGTTACGCAGCAATAAGATTAAGTACGTATACCTTTGAAAAGAATAATAATAATAATCGATCGCGTGTGCGAAAAAAAAGATGATGACTCTCGATGTCATAAAAAAAATTTCCCCTCATTAATGGCGCGATAGTAACAATAAAAAATAATAATAATAATAATTAAAAAAAACAATGAGTAACAGAGAGACTGAAAAATGAAAGTAAGACATGAGGAGATACAATATGATAATACTGTTCGACACTGCCTTCAAAAGGAAAAGCGATTGAAAATTTTCCCCTGGGTTACCAAAATTTTCATATTTTTTAATTTAAAAAAAAATTTTTTTTTACTAATTTGTTTTAACTGTTTTTTTTTCTTCATGGAAGAATTGTTTTTCAAAAACATCGAAAAGTATTTTTTTTGTTGAGAAATTTGTTTTTATAGAAATTTTATAATAATATATTTCTTTTGAAACTGTACATAAATTACATTTCTCTAGAAATTTTATAGAATTATATTTTTATAAAAATTTAATAGAATTATATTATAGAAATTTTATAGAATTATTTTCTTATAGAAATTTTATATTTTTTTCTTCCAAAAAATATTACCTTTTTTCATTTTAAAAAATGTGTTATAAAAATATATTCTTTTTTTTCCAAAATTTTTGTAGAAACTTTATAGAAATTCAATTTTTTGTTGCTTAAATTTTATAGAATTATATTGATTCAGAATTATATTTGTTTTGAAATTTTATTTTTTTTTTATATAAAAATATTGTTTTTATAAAAATATATTTTCATGAATTATTTTATAAAAAATTTTTTCCTAAAAATTTGTTTTTAAAAAGGTTTGTTTCGAGAAATTTCAATTTTTGTAGAAACTAAGAAAAAGGAAAATTTATGTACATTTTTTGTAAAATATTTTGTGAATATTTTTTTGTAAAATATTTTGTAAATATTTTTTTGTAAAATATTTTGTAAACCTTTTTTTTTGTAAAATACTTTGATTTTTCAAAAAAAAGATCTCGTTTCTCATGAGAACGTTTTTCTTGTTCTAGCGGACAATTTCGTAACTACTGTTTCGTATTTTCGCCGCTGTATCCTTGCGCCATAAACCACGCCCTCTCATCTATTAATCCCAATGAAAAACTTTCAGTTTCTACAAAAATTGAAAAAATATACTTAAAGTATAAAAAAATCAGACAGCAATCTCAATAAAAATTTTCCTTTTTCTTAGTTTCTAAAAAAATTGAAATTTCTCTAAACACACCTTTTTAAATGTAATTTATAAAAAATTTCTTTTATGAAATTGGCAAACCCAGAGGAAAACTTTCGATCCTTAAAAAAGGTGGCAGTCTTTCTAATCTCGATCATTCCGATTCTAGAACATAAATGATCGAGTCTCGATGTTGATGACGATATCTAAATGACAACTATCAGCGATTATCGAAGGTCATTCTGTTTTGATGGTGGATGGCGATGGCATTCCTTGCGAAAAAGTTGGACTCTCTGGACCAGTTGTTGGCTTACTTTTGGGAGTCGTTGTCGTCGTTGTCTGAACATCGTACCTTGCGTGTGTCCTCATGTGCCTGGTGATCATATCCCTTCGGCATGCTGCATAAATGCATTGTGGACACTTGTAGGGTTTCTCGCCTGTGTGTGTACGCTGATGAGTACTAAGATGATCGGATCTACTGAAGACTTGTCCGCAAACACGACAAGTGTAGGGTTTCAGTCCAGTGTGCTGTCTCATGTGTCGTGTGAGCATGTCCGAACGTGCGAAACTTCGTTTACAAACATCGCAAAGATAGGCTTTCGCCGACGCATCCTGTGGACCCTGTCGTCGATGACGTGATGCCATGTGTTTTGCTAATCTGTCATGTAAACTGAACATTTGTCCACAAACTGGACACACATAGGCGACATCGGCGCCTGGTGGCATTTCCTCGACAACGGGCGATACCTCGAGATTGTAACGAACAGCAACACTCTCCTTGGTTGTGGGTGATGCAACGTCACCACGAACGACGGGTACGCTGACTGATCCTCGAGTGACGACACCAGGTGGTAGGAGTTGTAGAGCGGGTGGTCGATTACCCTGAGCGAGATTCTTCATTGAGAGATCGAGAGGCGATTCTTGGGGACTTGTTGAGTCATTATTGTCGAGGGATTTTGGGGGTTGAGCAACCATTGTGGAATCAGTGGCGCGTGGCCTCTTCTCCCAACCGGGAACATCCGAATCCGAGTGACTTCGTTTTCTCGTGATATCTGGCAAGTACTTGGTGTGGAGGTAGTGCTCGAAGCTGCACGACGATGGAGAGACGGGGGTTAGGGGTGTGAGTGTCAGGGGAGTGAGCGGCGTTAACGGTGCCAATGGCGATGTTGGAGATGGAAGCAACATGGGCGCTGTGGCACAATGAACGCATCCACATCCAGAGTACATGGGTATCGGTCTCGTGTGATTATGATGATGATGATGATGATGATGATTCTGCAGGTGATTGGGACTCGGAAGATTTTGATTATTGTGATAATTCTGATAGTTTTGATTATTTAGATGACTCTGACTCGAATGGTTTTGATTTAGATGATTGTTGGGTCGATTCGGTTGGTTCTTGCGATGATGTGAATAGTGAAGGAGATGTTGACTGATTCCGGGTTCTTCTTCGGAGCGTGAGAGTGATTCCTCCTTTTGTCGGAGGGTGGTGAGATAACTATTGCCCGGACTGTCGAGACTTGAACCAGTTGATGATCTTGGTGATCCAAAGACGTCTTCCTCTTCTTCGGATGGTAATATTGTTTCCTCGTAGTTGGCGCACTTTGTAACGAGAGGTGAATTCCGATGTGCTTGAAGAATATCGACCACTTGTGAGAGACCTTTTCGTTTTCTTGGTTTTGATTGGTGATTTCGATTCGCCGTCGCCGCTAGCGTATTGTTGTTTGTACAGGATGGAGGTGGGGGTTTCGCCGGACCCGGTGGCACAGCGGCGGCGTCCTCCACGGCGCTCTCGGCCATCGTCATCGAGGATGCGCGGCACCCGCCGCCTGGGCCCCTGATGCCGCCTAGTATTCCTCCGTCCACCACCGTTCTGCCGCCCAATTCGTTCTGAAATCAAAAAAAAAATTTCATTAATAAACAATTGATGGAAAGTTTAAATAAATTCTATTATTATGAGAAAAATTGAGGTTATGTTTTGGGTAAATATGAAATCTACATTACCGACAATCAATAAAAAAGAATATTTCATGTCAATAGTGCGCATTTTTTGCACACAGTTTTTAATTTCTAGTTTTCTTCGTGTCAATGCTATTACCAATCACTGAGATAAAAAAAAATTGTGGAAATTTACCAGAACCTCAAAATTCACATTATTAAAAAAATACGTCTATAACGGTAAAAATTAATTAAATGACCGAAATTCAACAAATTTTCATCATTTTCTCTGGTTTTTTTTTAATTTAATTTTATTTGTAGGTTAATTGAGTTATTTCGGAGAAAACTTACATAGTTGGTGATTTCATAATCTTATGTCATTTCTCTAATTCTCATAACCATTATAAATAACAGGAGAATGAGTAATAGAAAAAGAAATTCCGAGAAAAATATGAAAAGGAATCTATAAAAATTAATCAGGGTATATAATAAATACAAAAAATTGAAAAAATGAAATAATTTTTTTAAAAAAAGGAAGAAAATATTAAAACATTTAAGCTTACCATATGAATCAAATTAGAAATAGATTTATTGGAGTCACATTTTAAGGTTAACAATAAAATCTAATTTAAAAAAAGATTTGATCAAAAAAAGAAAAGTAACGGAATTAAAGGTAAAATCATTTATAATACATCAGGGAATACAACAGACTGTGGAGAAATGATGGAACAGGAAAAAATTAAGTTTTATAGACGTTGAACTGTCATTGAATGAATAACAGGAGGACAGTAAAGAATTGAAGGAAAAAAAAAAAACAATCTCCCGAGAATAAGCTGATCATTCGAGGGTTGTAATTGAAAAAAAAAGATAGTAGTAAACTTTAATAAAAGATAATAACAATAAATTTATAATTCTCAATAATCAAATGCTATAACACCTTTGATATAATAAAAATTTTAACTAATTGTCCATTTTTATAGTTTTATGTCAAGTTTATTATTAAAATTTTAATTAAATAATTCAGTTTCTTATTTTCATTCACATTAAATTAATTATATTTTTTTTTTTATTTACTATTATTATTTTATTTTATTATTTATATAAATAAAATAAAAATATTTTTAATTTAGGTATTTAATCGAAATCTAAATATATATTTCAATTACGCGAATATTTTCAATCGCATAATAAATTAAAAGATAATTTTATAGAAAATTTCTCCTCAATTATTGTAAACTTGCATTATGAGGAATTTCTCCAAGTAATTCATATTGCCTAAGGCTTTAATTTATCATATATAAAATTTTAGAAGGACCGCGTATCGAATAGAGAGTGAGAGGGTGTGTGTATATATTTGAAATTTAAATAACCCGATCAAATAAATCAAAGCAGTTCTATATATATTTCTGAAACGCGTTAAACGTCATTAAAAAAAAAATTGAAGAGAGATGATGACAAGACATTAAAAAAAAAAAAAAGTTGTAAACGGGAATTTGAATTGAGATTCAAGTTTTATCATATACTAATCAAGCCGCACTTTATCTCATTTTTATAGCCGTGTGAGATTTTTTTCTCCTGACTTATCATTTTTGGTAAATTATTATCGTTTTTTTTTCTCTCTCTGTTCTTTTTTTATACTTTCATTCGATTATTTTTTTTTCTTTTATTATATTAGAGATTTTGTCGGGAAGCAAACAAAAATTTGATCAGCCCGTGTCGAACAAAATGATTATGCTAATCAGAAGCAACAGGTGGCGGAAATCGTGTTTTTCGGTGAAAAAAAGAGAGGGGGGGGGGTTTTTTTTTATTATTTTACATATTATATCTAACGCGCCAATATATTCACGAAATTTGCACACAAGAGTGAGTCAAGCCTTCTCTGATGATCCACCGACGAAAGGGGGATTTAAATTCTTTTTTTTTTAATGGAATTTAAATGCCGCACGCTATAAAAGTGAATAAATTACTTTACAATGTTAGGTGAGGTCTATAGTATAATTACCAGTATAGATTTCTGGGTTAAATAAGGTATAAATTTCTAGGTTTATTTCCACGTGAATAAAACGATTGAACGATTTAACTTGTATATATATAAAATTGAATTACTTTATTTTCTTTTTCACTTCCTCATTCAAGGCGCATTTTGTGAATTTTTTTTTATTTTGATCATTAAAATAATCACACAATTATTTTATTTGATTTATATTTAGATTTATTTCTGTTTTGTACTGAAGTTTCACAAGATTGATTAGAAAGCAAAAAAATTGAGTCCAAATTAAAATATTTTTTTTTTGTAGAACAAATTGGTAGAAAAATTATTTTTTTCCTAACCTTTTGCACGTATTACATTTTTTGGTTATTAAAAATTTATTGCTAGAATTTTTTTTTCACATTTTCTAAATCAAAAATTATAATTTATTTCCTTAATTTATTTCTTTGTATCAATATTTTGTGTGATCAAAATTTTTCCTATGAATAATGTTAATTAAGATATAAAGCAATTAGTTTTTTTTTTAATATCGCGATTAATGATTGTTTTCGTGCCAAGAAACTCGATATTTTATAATATATGCGTGTGTGTTCGGTGTTCAATAAAACCAGACAACTCGTTTCTGACACGGTATAATTAAAGGGAAAAAGACGTAGAAATCGTGTATAGTAAAAAAAAAAAAAGAGGTTTTAGGATCTTGAAACTTTTTAACTTTTAGTTATTGATCTTGTTGCGCGGTCGAATCATTAATAATCAATGCGTAGGAGGCACGTGGTTGTCAATAATATTATAAATGCCGCGGCAATTTCCTCGCGTTCAACATACGGAACGCCAAGTTCCAGTTTGCAATATAATATTCCCGGATCGCAAAGTTTTAAGAGCCTTAGAACAAATCCACGCACGGTAGCTGATATTACGAGATCAGTGGAGCAGTTAATGATCATTCTTAAGCATGCAGAAGGCTTGGCTCGAGGAAAAATCTTCAATACTCTATATATATATATATATATATATATACGAAACAGCGGAAATCAGTCTTCAGCTATTTCTCGGTGTAATTTATGTATATATAAGCAAAGCGAAAGCTTTTTAAAGAAGCGCGCATACTCATAAAAATAAAATTTTAAAATTGTGCCCTTTTTTTGACCATGGAATTACAATGCGTATATATACTAATTATTATTGTTTTTTATATGAATGGAAAAAAATAATTGCAACGTTTGGAAAATTTTCAAACAAGTACTATAACTTATTGGTTATTGCTCCCAAGGCGCCAGGGGAATTTTTTTTTACTCTCCCCCCTCTCCCTAGTGTGATCGATAACTTTATGTGATAACAAAAAAATTATGACGATATTATCCGCAGTAAATAAACCTCTTCCGTTGGTCAATGACAGGCCTTGGATCGACTATAATGAAATATGTGATTTTACTCGATTTACATTCCAAAAAAGTCGATTTTTTAAAACTAAATTTAATTCCTTAATTGAATTAAGACAAATTTTCGAAATTTCGAAAAAAAATTTATTTGATTCAAATAATTGGTTATTTGACTATTTTTATCAAATAAATATTTACATAAATGAAATTATTTTGAAATAAAATTGAAATTTTTATTTTGAAATAATAATCTCTGTATTTGAAACAAATATCATTTAATTGACTCAAATAATAATTATTTGATACAAATAAATATTTCTTTAATAATAATAAAGTAACCGATTATTTGAATCAAATTTTTTTTCAGTGTAGGACAAATTTTTAAAAGAAATTCCGAGGGGGAATTTACTAGTTAAAAACGTGTACACTTGACTACCGGTATTACACCTTATATTACCCTTATTACTAAGTTATTACACGTTATTACAGAGTATTACACATTATTACAGAGATATTACAGATTTTTTTGCGTTATTACAGCACCGTAATAACGCATTATTACACAAGTATTACAGGAAGAGTGTACACTTGACTACCTGAGTAAATTCCCCCTCGAGAAATTCTTAAGAGTTCCCATTTAAATATTTTTTGAAGTCTCATTAACACAGAAAATTAAAAGGCATTAAATTAAGCTGCAACGCTTATTATTTTAATCCAATTTTGCTTATTTTAATCCATTTTGGTATTAAAATAAGCCAAATTGGATTAAAATAATAAGCGTTGCAGCTTATTTTAATGCCTTTTAATTTTCTGTGAAAGCAATTTATTTAAATTAAAAATTTTGGCATAGTTTTTAGTTTTAAATTGACATTTTTGTAATTTTATTTGCTAATTTTTTAAAAAATATTAAGTAATTATTGAATTTTATAAAAATTTTAATTAAAAAATAGTCAGGCCTTGGATCGACTTTATAAAGCGCAAAGAAAGTTGTTTGAGTCGATTTACATTGGAAAAAAGTCGAAAAAGTCGATTTTTTATTTTAATTAAATTTAAATAATTAATATTTTATTTTAAATAACTAATGTTATTAAATATTAAATCAATTTTACTAATTCCTTAATAAAAATAATTCTATAGGAATATTATCAAGAAAATTTGTTTCTATTTCAGAATCGAAGACGTAAAGTTTTTAAATTTTAATTAAATTTCTAAAAAAAAATTTTTGATAATTCAATTTTTAGAGTTTTTATTTAAATTTTTTTTAAATAATTGAATTTTTAAAGACATATTAAAATTATTAAAAATAATTGAACTTTGAAAGAGTTACAGTTAATATTTTTAGAAATAATTAAATTTCAAAACATTTTGTTAAAATTCAGACAATAATTAAATTTTACAAAATTGAAAATAATTTATCAAATAATTTTAGATAACAATTTTTAAAAGTTAGAATGTGAAAAATTTTGATCCAAAGAAGGTATTTAAATAACACAAATTTCATGTCATTTTTTTCATTCAGATGAAATTTATGTTATTTAAATATCTTCCTTGCATCAAAATTTTTCACACCCCAAATTTTATGA